TTCATTTATGTCCTGCTTATGATTTTCCTGTGGGCAGATAGAACTTGGCCCAATTGAGCATGGCTCTTCTTGCATGTCTGTAGGTTGACTAAGAATGTAACAGGCATTTTTTTTGTTACAAATAGATGCTCTGGGCCTTCAAGGATAATTTCTTCTCAGTGGTACAAGGTAATTTTATAGCTGGGAGTTAATGATCCACGTGGAGCCTCTTCAGGTGGCCATGTGGAAAATTCCAGTTGCGAAGTATGCAAGTAACAGTTACCTTTGCTCTCCCCAATCCCTGCCTTTCCATGGTTTATAGCTGCTAATACTGATCAGAAGCCATTTACAGTTTTACAGTTTAAATTCACTTAAAGAATAGCACCTTCATTGCTTCTAGAATAAAATGCAGTATCTATTTTGGGGATCTGGTGGCTTTGCTTAATAGTACTGTAAAGAGGAAGCTAAGAAAGCTGACATTAGGTGGTGCTTCTCCACCTCTGGAAAAAGCTGGAAATAGTACCTGATTTGGGAGGGTTACGCTTAAGTTCTGGCTCTAGGAAACTGACAAACTTGTTTGCCTTGGTAATCAGTTGAGTTTTGTAAGGTTGAGCAGAAATTAAGATCTGTACTTTTATTTCAGCTTTTATAAAGGACTATTTAATATCAGGTTCTCTGTGGGCAAAATGAACACAAGTCCCTATCTCGAAGATGTCTATTGTATGCAGACATCTTTAATAGACATGACAGCCATCTGAGGGGGATAATGTAAATTGGTGTCCTGCAACAGCAGGGGGTTGGACCCAAGGGCCTTCTTGGCCCCTTCCAACTCTACTATTCTATAATTCTGTGATCTCCATAATATATGGTTGTGCTTTGCATAGTCTGCACACTGAAGACTTGGTCTGATGAGTTCTTCTACCAAGACATAGCCTACCTGTCATTAGAGGACAATGGAGTGACCCCAGAGCCCTTTCCAATTTCAGTACTATGTTTTATGAATGCAGTTGTAGCACCCTTATGCTCTGTTTTATCACAAGTTAAAGCCATCATGACTAAAGGACACTCTTTAGTGTCCTTATGAGCTTGCTCATGTGTTAAGATTGTCTTCAAAGGCCACACATGGTGGCTCACCATTAAGATCCGTAAGGTTGGTAAGCACTAGAGACCCCTTGCTCTATGGGATTCTCTCTCAAGAGCATGTGACTGGCCCCATCTGTTGCTGTGTCAATGAGAGCTTTAAAAATGTATTTGTTTCCCCTGGATTTTCATTGGAAAGCTATTAAACATACTGTTTTTGTTAGTGTTTTAAAGATTGGGAATAAATCAGTAAGTTATCATATTAACTAAAACATCAAAACTTTGCTATAATAGTAGGGAACAGTATGTTCTATAATATAACCTGTCTTTAGGAGTAATGTGGTCTTGAAATGTGCTAACCAAGCAAATAGAGAAATATTTTATGCGACCTTCATGGGGAGATATTGCGGCTTGGAATATATACATATGCATAAGATAGCAAATATAAATATGTTGGGTTTGATCCAGGATCTGCCTTCCATGCAAAGAATTGTTCTGATTTGGAAGTTCCCTCCACCCAATTTTCAGGGGTCCCTTCCTCACATTAGCAGAATCTCCCAACTCCCTGTGTAGCATTGGCGGAAAACTGGAGAGAAGAAAGGTGTGAGGATGTTCATTTCCATCAGCACAGCTGATACAGTGCAAAATCTGGATCCAACTTACGAAGATTTTATAAAAATGGAGATAACCAAGCATAATTACATTAACAAAGAACTTAACAAAGGGGTTTATGGAAATCAGAGGATGTGCAGTCCTAAATCCTATGCATATTTACACAGAAGCACCAGTCATTCCCACCTGTAGGATGCACTAAGCTTACTGAAGACCCACATCCACGCCAAGGCACAACTTGACTGTCTAGGCTCTGCAAAAATTCCTTGCAGGCAAGGCCATTTTACCTTCAGTTTAGATCTTAGAAGGACACTTGGGTGACACCAAAGAAAAGGATTAGAAAAGGATTCTATACATATTCTATACATATATACCTCTTCGGGCTTTCTGGAGGTATCTGGCCAACAGAACTCCAAGATTGGCTTTTTCATCCATGTTGCTTTCCACCCGCTGATTGGAATCTGGAGTACGGGCAGGCCGGTGTTTTTCTGGAAAATTCTGCTCGATAGCAGCAGCCAAGGAGTTGCCATTGAGGGATCTTGATATGTGCTGCCCGGAGGAGCTGATGGCCAGCACAGCCAGGAGCACGCAGAGGCAGATCCCGCCGTACATAGCTGGGGAGAGAAAGGGAGAGGAGGCTGTCAGAATCCCAACAGGCTGCTGTGCCACGTGGGACAGGAATTGCCTTTGCTTCCCAAGACACACTCTAGAGCTTCAATTATACAAGAGAGGCAGTTAACTATATCCATCTAAACAAAGGAAACACCACTGAGGTTCATGGCTATGATTGATACTGTAATGGTCAAAAATTACCAACCCACTGCAAGGTAGTGAGATCTGCCTTCTGCTTGCCACAGCACCTTGCCTAGATGTTGCTTTCTGTCTTCCTCGAGTTTTTAAACAAACAAACAAAAAAATTAACTGTTTGGGGTGGGCAGCAGCTTTTCATGTTTTTTTTTTTAGGAAGGAATGAGCACTGTTCTGTTGAGAGAAGATGGAAAAGGGTTGTTTTTGCCATCTATGTGGTAGTTATTTCTAAGTGTATACTTTCTACATAGGAGTAACATCAGTGGGGTTGACTTTCTTCCCAGATAATTTCTGTATGGATAACAATGGTATGCAACACTCCAAGATTCCACATCCCATTGTGTTAATTTCTCAGGAGCAGAATCCACGCTAGTTAGGTTACAGAATCATTTCATTCACTAGAGCAAAAAATGCCACAAGCCTCACTGTGCGTAGAGCAACATGAGGAAAAAATTGATCTGTGTTATAATTTTAAGAATGTGTCCTTAATCCAACACCTTCAACACATATATGGAATATACAATTGATGTTTATATTATGCATGTATAAGGTTGTGAAGAAGAGAAACTGTCTCAGAATGTGTGTGAGAACATGCAAGGGAATGGGAGAAGAAATATAAAGTATTTGGTTTTATTACAACCTCCCCTCCCCCAAATTTGATATGTTTATTAAATACCCATACTTCAAGCAATGCGGTATACATTCATATACAACTGAGAAATCATATCATGACCCATCTAATGTTAACTGTGTATATGCCCAACCAATTTTAATGGGAGAGTAATCTGTCTAATCCAGCAAATGGGAGAATCATTTGTCTATTCAGCAATGGTTAAATTCTTCTGGATTGTGTTGATTATCCATTTCATGCTAAAATCACCAAGCTCCTGAAACTTTCAAAATGTTACAGCACATCATTCATTATGGACTCTGAAGCCAGGATGATTGTAAGAAAGAAGGAAAGTTGCACAGTAGCAGTGCTTTATCCTGCTTCCAATATCTTCCGTACTAACAAATTGTAAGTGAGGAATTTTAAAAGGTGTCAGAACTGCTACCAAAATGACACAACATTTATGGGCAATCTCTCAGCTCATAACAGCTGCAATCTTATACACACTTACTCATGAGAAAGTTCTGTTGAACTCAATGGATATGTATATGATTGCATACTTTGTGGGAACTGGATTGAAATCAAATGGCAATTCTTCCCAATTCCTGCATTGGAACTGCAAAAAGAATCCAAAGCCCTGTCCTTTACACAAAAGTGACTATAATGTGCTTTAAAGTATAGCACAGGCTAACTGTAAGTAAGAATACTTGTTGAAATCAACCTAAAACTCCAGTCTTAGAGCCCATGATTAACACAATCAGGGGACATCATGCACATTACTCAAAATTTAAGAAAGGCACCATTTGAAGAAGAGATACACATCGAACTGCCACCCACAATTTTAAAGAACACAGTTGATTTTTTCATACAATTTCTAAGAGAAACAGTACAGTCTGAGAGAAACCCCGAGTACTTAAATAACTGAAGAAACATATTACCAACTGCATCATTCCTCTATTCCTGGAGTTGTAGTTTCTCTAAGAAATCATGTCCTACCTTTTAGATGAAGTGCAAATTCCTGCTGTATACAGAGAATGCAGCCTCGATGTTGTAGCTGAGCCTTTAAATGCTGCCCCTTAAATAGTCTAGTTCGGTGCTTCCAGAAGTGTCATTTGTTTGCACAGGTCTGACGCAATTGTGTGAGCAATGTAGGCTCCACTGCACAGATTGTGCAAATTTACATGTATTGGGACACACCCAGGGGTTGAACCAAGTTGTTGCAAAAGGAAAAGTAGGAACTCTAGTATTTAAGCTTGTCTCAGCTGGGTTGTACTACTTTAATACTCACCTTTGTTTAGTAACATCGCAGTGGCTTTAGCAGTTAAGGTTTTGCTATGTGCTGAGAAGTTCATCATAATTCATGGGCAGAGGCAATGGAGTGACTTTGATGCAGAAGTCTCATTCTCTTCCGTTAGAGTTGCTGTTACAAATAGGTATTCACCTCTCTTTGCAGGTGCACAAAACAGTTCAAGACCTTTCTTAATTTTGTATGGTTGCACTTACATGAGAGTAGCATCAAGTGACTAAATGGGCACAAGATTGGGCTGCACAACAAATGCACAAAGTTGGTGAGATACAATAGTATTGGCGTTTCTCTTTAAGCCCCCCCCCCCACGCCACACACACACACACACACACAAAATCTTGGGTAGATTCATGTAGAGAAGCACAAGCAGGGTAAATCAAAAGGATTCCTTTAGGGACTAGGATGTGCTGTTTCACTCAGGAGTCTCGCAAATTTTTCACACAGGAGTTAACTACTTGCAGATTATCCTAAGAACACAACCAACTGCATGGATATAGATTGCACCTGACTGAGTAGGATTTAACACCCCAAACTAATGTGCCAGTAGCTATTTCTTTTTTTACTCTAGTTTAGACCTTCTTTCAGAAGCTAACAAAGACATTTTGTAGAATGCACTGTCAGGATCTCATGCCACTGATTTTTGTGCTTGCTGTTTGCTGTATCGACTCATGTCCCCCACTTTTGCAGTTCAAAGCAGGGTGCAAAACCCAGAATTGTTTGTTAGCTTGTAGTAGTCCTCTAGAGGTAGTTTGCGATTGCACCTGCAGGATGCCAAGTTTAGCTATCTTTCTTGAAGCAGCTGAAAAATATATTTACATATGATCTATTTTGTCATACAACTTTCCCTTCCAAATGCTTCCATCCCGCCCGCTCCGCCCCCGTTTCCAGCTGAGCTCTTTTTGTTTTCTAGTATTTGCACTGTGCGTTTTTAATGTACACTGCCCAGAGAACTTTGGTGACTGGGCGACTTAAAACGAGGTGAATAAAGACATCCGGAGCCTGCCAGGTTAGCGGTCCTCCGGGAATTCATTCTTTTTCAGCCCGGGGGAGTTGTCGAGGTTTGAACGTGCGACCTTTTCTCCGTGGAACATGCGCCCTTCCCGCGAGGTGCAGCAGGTTCTTTTTTCCGGGGGGTGCCGTTCAGTTAAGGACTATCAGTGAAGGGTAAGGACTCCCCCTAAGAGTCCCGAGACGCCAGCCAGGATGAGGTGACGCAGGATTTGCGCAAACAGCTGGAGCTGCCGAGCTGAAAGCTTTCTATCGCTCAGATACCGGCCGGCGGATGCACGAGGGTAGAAGCCTGCAAACACTCTCGTCCCATCTGGCGCAGGCACCATTGATCCGCCCTGGCGCCGTCTTCCTCCTCCTCCTCTTCCTCCCGGGAGAGCCGAGGATTGACCCATCGATCTCAGCACCAACTTTGCGCCTCTGTGTGTGCCCCCCCCCCCCCCGCCGGGGCGGATCCTCACTTTATCGGCAGCAGCGGGGCGGTGGTGGGAAGAACAGGGAAGGAGGAAAGGAGGCTGCGGACGGGATCTCGGGCTTAGAAGAGGGAAACGAGCGCGCTCGCTCTTTTGCACTCCACTTTCAGGAAGGGGGGAGAAGGGGCCCCTGCTCACCTTCTCCCGCCCGACTGCTCTCCTCTGCCTTGGCGGTGCGTGCGGTCGTGAGGATGGTGGTGCTGGGTGTGTCTGGAGAGGGACGGACCGAGCCTTTTGCGCCCAGCTTCCCAGCCGCGGAGTTTTGCAGAGCTGCCGCCGCCGCTTCGCTGCGTGCGCGCAAGAGGCGCACGACTCGGCTTGCCTGCCTTTTAAGAGCCCGCGTGTTCAGTCCTCTCCTGAGACGCCCCGTGGCAGAGCTGGGACGGCGGCCTCCGTGCCAGGGACTGACGGGTGTGGAAGGGATCGGGCTGCTTTCTGGGATGGGAGAAACAACGCCCCCCCCCCCACGCCAAAGTCAGCCTCCTTCCAACTAGCTCCGATCCCATCATCCCTGGTATCATGGCCAATAGCTGGGAATTGTAGTCGAAGACATCTGGAGTGTCCCCCTTTGGGAATGCTGCCCTGCACCATGCTCTGGGGTGTTGGATTTCTGCAAACTGAAGAAATACTCTATGTTGTATGGCCAGAAGAGTTACAACAGTGTGGGTGAACCAGATGGCTGGGACTGATGGGAACTGGAGTGCAACATCTGGGGTAGAATCCAGTGGGGCTCTTCTGCCCCTGCTGATCCCATTGCCTAGGTAGACTTCATTGCTCATGTAGTGTTGATTTAATACTTCAGAGGCAAACAGATGAGCAGAAGCTTTCATTTCTGGAAGGAAGCAAGTCTGCAGCTGGCTTACTTGCTTCCTTCCTGAAGTGAGTGTTTCTGTTCATCTAGGGCTTTTCCCAGGTCCCACTTGAGCATTGGAATTAAAGGGACCCTCAGCTTGTAAAAAGGAATTGCTGGCACAGGAAATAAGTCCTACAGCTCTCCGGAAATTCTTTCTAAATATGCATAGTATTGTGCTCAAAGAGAACTAGGCACAGTATACTCATGAAAAGATTCCATTGGTACTATATAGCATAAGTTTTCTTCTTTGTTTGTATATAACATATTTCTAGGTTGCCTTTCAGGGCAAGAACTCTAAGATGGCTTTCAATAATAAAATGCATTTAGTAAAACACAAGTTGGAAATAAAACAGAAAGTCTGTTTCTTTTCAAATACAAACTTTTCTCTCCTGCTGAATGGTGCATTTTGATTTGCCTGTGTGTACCCTTCCCTTATCAGTAGGTTGCACTAAGAATGTTGTAGGAACATAGAATCAGAGCAAGTTAGGAGGGGTCTCCGGGCCATCTAGTCTGACCCTGGGCTCCAGCTGGCTCTCCTCATGACATGCCTACTATGTTATAGCAGAAGGAAGATAGACATTATACTCAACTACTGTGTAGGAGAAAAGTAAAATCTCTTTGGGGAACAGTCAGTCAATAGTACTCTATGTTGTGTCAATATGGTCCTAAAAAATTGAATCAGAAGCGAGACAATTATATATTGTGAAAATGAGGTGCTGCGGAAGGGAGGGGGGATATGTTTTCTTGGTAATATTAAATGAGAGGTAATATAGAAGAGAGCTGTTTCTACTAACTGCTCTAACTGCTCACTTCCCATCATAAAAAGGAGGCATTCTGACTTCTTTTCTGACTTTTCTGACTGTTTCTCTTCAGCTTGTCCTCCCAGCCAAGCAGGTATAATTCTCAAGATTTCCATCTCCCTTGCTTGGTGCCTCAGTAGTCTGGCCTGCCCGCAAAGCTCCCATGATCAGTACCATGGACAGCACAAGGTGCCTGTCCCAATCTGACTGCACAGCTCTAACTGCTTCTACAAATAGTGTGGTTTAATTGCTTTAGAAATGGACAACTAAGTTTATTCTTCATAAGGTCAGCCTTAGATCAAATTGTCATGATGTCCCAGAACTAGCTAGATTTCTGCAATGCTCCATCAAAAGCTTAAAGAACATAACTCTAGACACTGATTTATATTAGATCAGACATTAGGTAAAATCCAGTGCTATCCTTACATAGGATAGACCCATCAAAAGGAATGGGGCTTACATTAGTCATACAAGTCCCATTCATTTCAGTTGATCTATTCTGCATATAGCTAGCGTGAAATTTAACCCTATTTGTCTAGCCCAGTAGAGCTTACTTTGATTGGTTCTGGTTTTCTCAAATCACATGAAAAGGTTTTCCCCATCAGTTGCTTCTTGAGCCTTAAGTTAAAAAGAAAGAAAGAAAAAGAAAAGGAGATGCAAAACAGAATGGAGGACTGAACCAAGAAACTTCAGCATGCAAAGCTTGGCTATACTGGTGCTTTTGTACCTTGTATTCATAATACTGGCATTGAGATGAGTCTGTGTGAAAGTGAGATAGTAAATTAGTGCTTAGATTTACAAGAGACTGATTTGCTAATGCTTCCCCAGCACCATATCATTTGCGTTTTTGTGACAGCAACTATCTCTTTATATGATACTTCATCTAGAAGGTCACCATAAAGGACAATCTAGAAACAGTAACCAGATGGAAGAAAAGCAAGTTTCTGTGGGGAATATTCAGCCAAACATAATTTTTAATAGAAAACATATAGTAGCAACTACACACAGTTCTTCATAACGAGCCCTTTAAATATAATGAGGTCCCAGGAGGAAAGACTTGGTTTTTCTACTGAAAAAGGCAAGAAAAATGCCACATCATATACCATTTTAATGTTGAAAGCACGTATTTGCATGAATATATGAAATTCTGTAATAGATCAAGCATTAGAATAAAATCAAGTCAAGACTACTTAGTGTGAATACATTCTAATTAAGAGCACATTTTCAAGTGATGCAAGTGGGGCCCTGCAGTAAAACGCTGTAGTGTATCTTGGTGTGTGTATTTTTGAGCCTGTCATTAAAGATGTTGAAAAAGAGTTAACTTTAAGGCAGGAGCCCTTGCACTAACTTGACTGTTACTTCAAGTGAAAAGGTTAATTTAAACTATTATTAATGTTACTGTCTGAGCATTTAAAAATACAATCAGTCAACAGGAAAGTTTTGATTTTGAATCCAAATCAACCCCAGCCTACCCATAATCCTGTAGGATACAGTCAAAAGCTAGTAGTGGCTGAACCATGAATAGAGAAACCTACTTGCCATAGGCGAAATCTGGCCCATTTGAAATTCCAGTCAACTTCTCTGAGGTTTCTCAAATGGTCTTCCTGACCCTATTCCCTTTCCCCCATCCAACAATCATTTGATGATTTCTGAAATTTTGTGAAGTTTTTACCCATTATAAAAAGGTGAAATGCTTCTGCTGTGGCTTAGTTACTGGCAGCAAGAGGCAGGAACTGAGTCCTAGTAAGTTACTGGCTCTTGATATTTTGGCCCTAGCCATTTTGCCTGCAGTCCTTCTCACCTCTGGAATGTGGAACCCCAGAACTTCTCTGAAACTAAGTTTGGTCCCTAGGCTGAAAGAAGTTGAATACACTTGGTGTACATCTATGCCTGGGAAGTGACATTGTCTACTTCAACTCAAAAAATTGTAAACAACAAACCATGGTTAGATCCTACAACAAAGCAAGAAGAAAAGCAATTAAACTCAAAGGTGGTCTAATAATGTACATTAGTGAAATCTTAACAAACAAAACTAAATTAATATAGGGGGTAGGGACTGGGGAGGAAAAGTGAAGGGAAGAAACAGGGACTGTGGAGGAAGTCCAAGAATCTATAAGCCAGATGGGGATTCCATGGACTGGATTTGGCCCATGGACCACACAATCGCCATCCCCGTCTTAAGTAGTGCTACTGACACAGTTGGTGTTCTTAATGCTGTTTCTTCTGAGGAATGTCTGTTGCTTAAAGGAGTATATGCTATTCCTCAGATGCAGTGAGGTCTTACTGCTCCCAGAAGTGCTGGCCCTCATGCCTTGAGAACGGTT